TTCGTCGTCTATCATTTCCATTTCCACTATTTTTATTCCACATTTTTTCCAAACTACGGCTTCCATTCCATCCTGCGCTTCGGTTTTTCAATTCCCTGTATTTTCTCTTTCACGTAAGTCGTCAATCATCGGCAATGCGTAATGCAGTGGGCACCTTTTTTTGCAGAACTGGTCCGATCCAGTTTCCTTTTCTTTTCAGGGTTGTGCTCAGTAGTGCCCTTTCTTCGCTCACTCTTATTAGGACTTATTCATTTGTTTTCTCGTCTGTTCACTTTATCTTCTCGATTTGTCTTCAGCACATAAAAAATACTAATATTAGAGACAAAGTTATAACGAAACCCTTTCAAATTTTAGGCACTAAATGTTTTTACAAGAAAATAAATTTTTATCTAATGAATTCCATGTTTGTAAAGATATTTCATTATTACTTTTTCTGTTCAGGTGTGCAACATGAGCCCCGTGTGGTATGCTACTACACCAACTGGAGTGTGTATAGGCCCGGTACGGCCACCTTCAACCCGCTTAACATAAATCCGTACCTGTGTACGCATTTGATCTACGCGTTCGGCGGATTTACTAAGGAGAACACGCTGAAGCCATTTGATAAATATCAGGACGTTGAAAAAGGTAACAACAATTGGCAAAAGAAAAATAATTATACACTTGATCATTTTTATTTAATTGGAAAAAGTAATGCTATAATAGAATAAAGAATATTGTGTATTTGACTAACAATGAGCTAAGATTTTCAATATTGCATTGGAATTTCTAGACTAATCGAAATTATTTTTAATGAACACAATATGAAGTTTTTACCATTGTTAATTATTAATTTTATTACCCAGGTGGATATGCGAAATTCGTGGGTTTGAAGACATACAACAAGAATTTGAAGACGATGCTCGCCCTCGGCGGATGGAACGAGGGATCCACGAGATTTTCGCCAATGGTGGCCAATGCGACGAGGAGAGGCATTTTCGTTAAAAACGCTGTGAAATTCTTGAGACAAAACAAATTCGATGGTCTCGATTTGGATTGGGAATACCCTAGTTTTAGAGATGGAGGCAAACCTAGAGATCGTGATAATTATGCTCAATTTGTTCAGGTATAGATACCTAGCCATATTCTAAATGTTATTACAATTTTGTCTGAGGAACCATTATCTGCTGCTCAGATTTTAGATCTTCGTATTATGTATTTTTACTATTATTAATCACTTATTTATTAATTATTAACTATTTTGATTGTGAGTTGAAGATAAGTCTTTCTGATACTATAACAGATAGTATATGATCTATCTATTCTGCTTTGTATTTTAACATTTTGTTTGTATTTATTATTTTATAGGAACTTCGTGAAGAATTTGAGAAAGAATCTTCGAAAACTGGAAGAACGCGTTTGCTCTTAACAATGGCAGTTCCAGCAGGTTTGGAATATGTCGACAAAGGTTATGATGTGCCAAAACTAAATAAGTATGTAACAATTTCACTCTATGTTTTATTTATAACTGTTGAATAATTAAAAATATATGGATTTAGTAACCTTTGATAAATCATTGAAAAAAAACTGTTAGGGGCAAGGATTAATCGAATTTTTCTAAATATTTAGTAGTTATTAATTTACTAAATGCTTTGAAATTTCGCAGGAAGAAAGAAGCAAAAATATAAAAATCTCAAAAAATTGATCACATTTGCTGTTTATGAGATTTAAATATTTAAATACATTTGCACGTATGCTAGCTGCGAAAATACATTTTGAAAATTTCTGAACATCGAGTTTGAGAACATCGAGACTCATAAAAAGCATGTAATGCCAATGTAATAATTTTGGTCTATGTGATGAAAAATATGTGCTCGTTAATAAATTGTCCCTTAAATTTTAATTATATTTTATATGCAATGGGCAATAAGTTTTTGTGTAGGAATTTAATTATCTATATTTTTTCGTTTCAGATATTTGGACTGGATGAATTTATTGACATATGATTATCACTCTTCATTTGAACCAGCCGTTAATCACCATGCTCCTCTATATTCTTTAGAAGAAGAGTCTGAATACAATTATGATGCAGAACTCAATATTGTAAGTAAAATTTTTTAATAATAGTAGTGAGTAATAAATATAAGCCTAATAATGTATAGCTAAAATTATTGATACAAATATGATAATGATCGGACTAATAATTAAATGCCAATAATTAGTATAGTTATAAATATATTATTATTATTAACTTCCCGAAGGAGAAGTTTATGTTTTCATCAAAAAACCCGATTCGCTAATTTTATGTTTTCTCGACGTTTCAAGCCATTCTGAATCGAATGAGACCAAATTTGGAAAAAGTATGTGTGTGTGTGTGTGTGTGTGTTGTGAACAGATTTTTTTGCCGTAAATCGACGTTTTCTCGAAAACGGCTGGACCGATTTCAAAAATTTAAAAGCCATTCGATGTATCTCAACGAGAACTATTGTTTGTCAGTTTTGTGCGACGATCGGCCAAGCCGTTTCTTCATAAATGGCAGAAAAGTGAAAAATTTTTCGTCTACGTTTTAGCCCGCAATTCTGAATCGATTTTGAAAATTCAAAAACCGTTCGAAAGATATTGGTTGGAATCGTGCTGATTAGTTTTTGGTAGAGATCGGCCGGGCCGTTTTCTTGTAATAAAGTTTTTAAAAAAAAAAATTCGACGATTTTTATGATTATTTTTTTGACGATAGATACCATAGTCTTCTAGATCATACTAAAATATTACGGTCCTACGACAACTGGTTCAGCTTCAAAAATTCGTCAAAGTTTGCAAAAATCAGTATGGTCTTTTTGGCATTTGTCAAAATTAAACTTTTGATCGACGTTTTCTCTCAAAAACGCCTGAACCGATTTTAGAAATTTAAAAGCCATTTGATGTATTTCGGTGAGGACTATCGTTTGTCATTTTTGTGCAACGATCTGCCAAGCCGTTTCTTTGTAATTTGAAAAAAAACTTTTCATTCACATTTAAGCTCATCCTACCGAACGATTTTAAAAATCAAAAACTGTTCGAAAGATATTAGTTGGGAATGGTACTGATTAATTTTAGGTGAAAATCTACCGAGCCGTTTTCTTGTAATTAACTGTTGAAAAAAAGTGTGTTAAATTTTCGTCGACATTTAGCTCCTCCTACCGAACCGATTTTAAAATATCAAAAACTGTTCGTAAGATATTAGTTGGGAATGGTACTGATTAATTTTAGGTGAAAATCTACCGAGCCGTTTTCTTGTAATTAACTGTTGAAAAAAAGTGTTAAATTTTCGTCGACATTTAAGCTCATCCTACCGAACCGATTTTAAATATCAAAAACTGTTCGAAAGATATTAGTTGGGAATGGTCTGATTAATTTTAGGTGAAAATCTACCGAGCCGTTTTCTTGTAATTAACTGTTGAAAAAAAAGTGTTAAATTTTCGTCGACATTTAAGCTCATCCTACCGAACCGATTTTAAATATCAAAAACTGTTCGAAAGATATTAGTTGGGAATGATACTGATTAATTTTAGGTGAAAATCTACCGAGCCGTTTTCTTGTAATTAACTGTTGAAAAAAAATTTAAGCCGATTTTCATGGAATTTTTGTGGCGATATACATCATGGTCTTATAGAACTTACTGTAATATTACGGCCTAACGACAAGTAGTTTAATTTTAAAAATTCGTCAAAGTTTGCTAAAATTATTATCGTTTTTTTTTAAAGTAGGATTAATGAAGTATATTATTTACACATTTTTTTTTGATTAAGTCGATTATTTACACATTTCGGGAAGTTCATGTAACTTGCCTCAAGGCTAAATACCAAACCAACTAGTTATGATTTTTTTTATAAATATTCTGAATTTTTGACAATTTCTATTTCTTGCCAATATTTTGACTAGTTCTCGAAAATAATTTTTAAGTTCGTTTTCAAAAGTCTTTTGAGTCAGAAACTACTCAATAATTAATGTTTTTCTCAAGATTAGATTATATAATATTATATGCAGTAAAATATTGTAAGTTATCCAATTTTTAATTTTTTGATTTCACGTTTTATTTATATAAATTGGACCATTTGAGATCTATAAACCAAAATAAAAGCGTATTTTCTAGCTAAATTTAATTTTATTTCTTAATTAATTCTTTGAAAAATACTGATTTTATATTGGGCTTTATGATCTAAATTGAACAATTGACTATTTTGAAGATACAATAATAATGCTTGAATGTAATAGGATAACAGAAAAAGATTGGTGTAAGTTACTTCACTAATTTCTGTGAATTTTCTGCTTAAAATAATCACTATGGTTATTAGCATTTAACATAAACATGTCAAGATTTTAAATTTATATTGATAATTATTTATGAAATAATATTTTTCAGCATCATACAATAAAGCACTACTTAGCTGCTGGTGCCGAAAGACATAAGTTAGTATTGGGAATACCAACTTATGGACGATCTTATACTTTGATAAACCCAGAAGCAAACGAAATCGGTGCTCCATCAGATGGTCCTGGTGAACAAGGTGATGCCACCAGGGAAAAGGGATACTTGGCCTATTACGAGGTAAATAAAATTCATGACATTTATTACATGTCTAAATATCGTAATTTTATTTTTTCAACCAAACTACTGGACACATGATTGCGATTAAGTACAAAATAATATTACTTGTTTAAAATATTTTATTTGAAAATTTTGTTTACTTTAGTTTTGTTTTATTAAGTTTACGAATTCGTTTCTCTATTAAGATTTGCGAAAGTCTGAAAAGTGACGACTCCTGGACAGTGGTTCAACCCAACCAGGACGCGATGGGTCCATATGCCTATCGTGGTGACCAATGGGTAGGTTACGATGATGAAGCAATGGTGCGCAAGAAGGCCCAATATGTTGTAGAACAAGGACTTGGTGGAATTATGTTTTGGGCAATAGACAATGATGATTTTAGAGGAACTTGCCATGGCAAACCATACCCTCTAATAGAAGCTGCTAAGGAGTCATTGTTGGAAGGATTAGCGGGTAAGGACAGAAATTTAGTTATATTTATCAGTCGCGTAAACCGACACGTTTTTAATAGATCAAAAGACTTATTTTGAGTGAGATATTTTTTATCACATTGGGTATCTTATGTCCAATACATACATAGATCTGCATATTTATTTTTTAATATTATGAAGTAATTATATATTATATTTTTATACATTAATTATTTACATTGATTTATTTTACAGTATTAAGGGTAACGATGTAGATGCCCCAGTTCGTAATCCAACTAAGAAACCATCTACAAGGAGAAGACCTCAAGTTAAAACATCTTCCAGCGTTAAATCAACAGCGGTAACAGCAAGGTACAACCGAAACTTTCATTCAAATTTTTTTTTCATAACTATATATTAAATAGTCATATTATATTATTGAGTATGGACTTACATTTTTAAGATTTGTAAATAATTTTGGTTTTATCAGACCAACAAATCGGCGAATCAGCTCTCGTCGTAAGACATCTACTACGACATCAACAACAGAAGAACCAGTAGTATTGTCAGACGAAAGTGGAAGTTCTTTGTATATTGGAGGAAGAACTACGACTCCAGCACCACCGACTACACCAGATCCAGGAAGCGGTAAATATGAATTATTTTTACAAATTCCTATTTTTAATTTAGACTAAAAAATGCCTTTATCTAGAATTACTATTGTTTTTTTTATTTACCAGTAATTATGCTAGCGTGGAAGTCTTTTCACTATCCGGTAATTATTTCATCTTTGCGTATTAATAAAATTATTTTTGCATTATTAGTAAGATTATTTTGACATTATTTATGTTAATAAAATTTTGAAAAGAAGAGTCCAAGCACTCCATAGCTAACTCATGATGCATTTTTGAAGCTCTAATATACAATATATTTGATTATATTTTTATATTTTACAAAATATTAATTTAGTACAAAAAGAGTAAGTAGTGTGATTTTTTCTCAGATTTCAAATGTGAAGACGAAGGTTTCTTCCCTCATCCAAGAGATTGCAAAAAATATTTCTGGTGTTTAGACAGTGGACCATCAAATCTTGGAATTGTGGCGCATCAATTCTCTTGTCCTTCAGGTAATTTTGAAATATGCTTAGGAAAATATAAAATAACATTCTGGAATTTTGAATAATCCCTTTATTTCTCATCACTGACATTTATTTCTCATAATCTAAACCCAATATTGCTATCGAGCGTATTGCTACAATTGGATATTTATGAATATTTTAAAATCATTTTGCATTTCTAATGGCCTTATACTCAATCGATTAATATAACAGACTCACACTTGTATTGAATTTTATATTTTTGTATTTGGAAATATATCATATATCATTGTATCTTGATACCATTGCTCTTTTTCTCTTAGGTCTTTTGTTCAACAAAGCAGCAGATTCATGTGATTATGCTAGAAATGTACATTGTAAAACTAAGAAAGATCCTCCAGCAGAGGCAAGTAGTAGTTCAACCACAACCACAACCACGACCCAAAAACCAAGCACAAAACCTCCTAAAATCTCTCGGGTCACATTAAGGACAACGGCACGCACTACGACTACTACTACCAGTGCTCCAGAATATGAGGTAAAAGCATAATATATATTTATATATTACATTTTTCAAAATCGTGTTATTAGGTTTTTATCATTCTGCTTGATTTTTTTTTATAAAACTATTAATTTTAATATCCTGATTAAATGCGAATTTGCTAGCATACTATGACATATTTTTCAAAGAAGGTATTTTCAAACAGATTCAGTTTTCAAAATTTTTAATTTATGGTTTAACAAATAGTCATACTTGTAAAAAACTTGAGATAATTGTGCCATTGATTTTGACCAGGGTATTAGAACTGTTATTTGCGATAACGGATCCAAAGATTAAATGTATAAAATTACTAAAAAATGACGACAATATCCGAAAAATCGTCACTGTTTTACCAAAGTCTTAGTTACCACTTAAACGCTAATAATTTTCAAACTACATGGTGTACATTATTTTTTAATTTTTTTCATGGTAGCAAGAAACAATACTATCATCCTGTTTTGGCTTGACGTTGATTTTTGGAATACCATGTATATTTTTTATTGAACTGAGAATTTACAAGCAGTAAATTTGATCTATAAATTACAGCTTCAATATGCTTACTAATTATATTCCATATTTCTTCGAAAATAATTCTAACAACGCAAGGCTTACTTATTAACATTTTAATTAGTATTGTAGTTGAATTCACATTCGTGCTTCTAATAGCTTCTAGCTAATTTATAGTTCTATTTTATTTTACCCTAAAATAATAAAAATATTTTATGTAATACATATTAATATGAATATTAAAATAACATAAAATGCAATAGAATTCAATACTAATTGTAGTTATTAGTATTGAATTCAAAATATATGAATATAAATTAAATATTATAGTTAATAATTTATAGTAATAATAAGCATAATAAGTATAATTTAATTGATATAATATTATATCAATATTGCTTGTTTATTTTTAAAATTTTTAGTGCTATTTTAGTAAGCAAAATAGTTTTGTATGATTTTTCTATTATTTGGCTCATTAACATAATTTTGAAGTAGTTTTAAAAACAATCTATTTTGCTGTAGATGTTATACAATAGTAATAACTATAAAATATAGAAAATATGAACACATTTACACAAATTTTTAAACTAATTATATTTATTGTGATCTAATATATTTATTTTTTATTTTTAGGAGTACGAATATGAAGATGTGAGTGATGAAAAAGATCATACCTTAGATTCAGAAGAAGATCCTAGAGTGATTAAAGAATTGATAGATCTCATTCGGAAAGTCGGTACGTATTTAATTCTAACCTATAAAAATTATAGTTTATATGAGAATTTATTTATTGATTTTGAACATAGTTTTTGTAGCTCAATCAAAATATTAAATATACATCCTGAATTAAATATGTATTCAAACGGCCATAGAGGTATTTAAACAGTTTACATACCATTTTATAGGTCTATACAAAAATTCGATACACTAACTTTCAAGTTCCTAAATCATCATATGGTCTATCTTTTAAACTCATTTTTTTTTTGTCGAAACTATAAAAGATATCGAAAACAAATTGACATGGTTCTATTTACTCCTGCCCTGGCTAAATTATTTATAACAAAGAATGTTAGAAAATATTTATTAGAAAACCTAAAAATAGTTCTTAATTTTTTATCTTTTATCATTGCGGCTACTTGAGTATTGACAACTTGTATATCAGATGTTTTCAAAAAAACTTATAAAATGACGTAAACATTTTTTAAATAACAGAGTGATTCGGTATGGAAACATACCCATAACATTTCAATCATTTATTTCGAGTAAAGAAATTGTTTTTGCTATTTATCAGTTTGTAAATTTGCACTGCCTATGTAATTTAAAAAACATGAATAACACATTTTAGAAAGGGATTAGTTTAAATACATAAGTAGGTACAGATAAGAAAACAAACTAATTTTTTTAATTAATAAATTTTTTTTATTACATCACTGTCCATATTTAATATTCACCTTATAATTTAACATTGGTTATTTATAAAATGGGTTTTTATTCTATTAACCAGTTAACTGTGAATGACAAAATTTACACGCCGTGGAGAAGTGACAGAATTTTGTGTATTGACGATTATATTCGTCAAACGTATAAAGTAGTGACCATTTGCTATACAAACTATTTGTCAACAAAGAAGTGAAATGTAGTGACAAAACTTTTCAATTTTGTGAAAAAAAACGTATTTTTCAACCGACATCTTACCATCGCAACTTACCCTGTGAATGACGAATATACATCTCATGACTTCGCAAAAGTCAGACAACAAAAAATTGTGTGCGCTGTTCGATGTGAGCGCCACAGTTAACTGGTTAAATAAATTTACTATAAATATTTTATAGAAATTAAATAATTTTCGTATATTCAGGTGGTATTGAAAAATTGGAAAAACAGTTAGATGGCATCGATGGTCTTCAATCCGAAAGCAGTTCTGGATCATCAACAACTCCGGCAACGATTAGCCGATCTTTGTACGAACGAGTACTCAGTAAAGCGACACATAGAAAAGGTGCCGATGCCGCAAACAGAGGATCTGCAAATAACAAGTAAAATATTAACTAGTTCTGATATTATTTTTTGAATGTTTGGGATATCAAATACAGTTAATAAAAGTAACTTCTCAATTATTTTAGGTATACGTCATTTAATAGAAAAGTTCCCCAATTTTCTGGTGGCGATTCCAAGGAGGAGGAAGGTAGAAGTTCTAGCAGAGGTCGACCTCAATACGTTACAATACAACGTAATAGACCACATGGTCAAGAACCTGATGAAGATTCATCTGTGGTATGTACGCTTAATTTATATCTATCATTCATTATTTTTTATAATGATGTTATGATGTAAATTTAAGTAACTTTTCAATATTAAAAGATTGCTATATTAGATCACTAAATTAAAGATCACTTTTAACAAAAAATAAAATAAATCATAAAAACTTGTCACTTAAACAATTTAAAAAAGTTAATAACCATTGCTCATCATTATTAGTGGCGGGTAAAAGTTCATGCCATATGTAAAAATATTTGTTTATTACCTTTGACACCTATTTCGTTCTATTCAGAAATATTCCCAGGAAGTACTAGCAGGCGATAGCATCAGCTTTGAGGATGACTTTTCCGAAGAACATACACAAGAGCAACCTCGCAGATCAACACAAGCACCATCGCATGGTACTCAACAATATGTCAATATCAGAAGGGCCAGACCTACAACTGAAGAGAATGTAGTAGAAATAACTACCAGACCCAAATCAACTACGACTACTAGAGTAATTATAGAAGCTCCAACAACTACTACGGAATATGTGCCAACGATATCTAGAAGGTAAACCAAACAAATCTACTAGTATGGATGGTTGTAATAATATAATGTACTAGCATTTAATTGATTATCTTGCTTTGATATCACATTTATCAAATTCGGCAATTGTGTTACAAATAAAACATTAGATTCAAAAATTTAATATCTTTTGTGTAATACCACAATAAGGGAAAATGGTTTTCAACAATTGTGATCTGTAAGCTTTTCTGTAACATTTATATTTAGAAATAGAGAATAGTCTAAAACAGGGGTGGGCAAATACTTTAAATCGCGGGCCAAAATGAAATTTTCAAAATGTCTCCCGGGCCGGAGGTTTTGGATGGAGTTTTTCCCTGCCCAATTTTTTTTTTTAACAAAAACACTAAGTATCATTTCAATTTGAATAAAATATGACACGCAATTTTAAAAAAATATTATTATAAATAAATGGCTGTTAGATAAACCGATGTTAGATGTTAGATAAAGTCAATAAAAGATTTTATTTTGTTACTTATTTATGTCTTAACGATACAAATTATTTTATATTGACACATGGTTATTACAATTTAACATTTATATTGCATTTCGTAGATATAATAGTAAATAGATTTCAAAAAAAAAGAAAAGCATCAAACGTAAAAACAAATATTTAAAGTTAATGCAAAACGTGAAATCTCGAATGTTTATCTGACATTATTTCTTCAAAATTGGGTTCCAAATCACTTGCAGCAATCCTTCGGAATTCGAATTCGAATTTAGTGTAGAATAAGTAATTTCAGTAATTTGTGATCGATATTTATTTTCGTGAAAACCATTAAAAAAAAGTTCTTTCACAAATATATGTCGAACCAAAGAAAACAATGTATTTTTGAACATACTTAAAAAAATGTTTGAAGAAATGTTCGTTATTCAAAGCGCCATAGAAAGCACTCAATTCATTTGAGTGAAAATTTTCTCTTAGTAAATTATTTGATTGTAAGTCAATTAGTTCTTGTTGAATTTCAACAGGAGCTTCTTGCACATCGAAATTGAAAGGTTGGCTAATTAACGATAAAGGTTTTTCAATAGCTTTGAAATCTTGAAATCTTCTTTGGAATTCAGAATGCAGGTCTTGTGTTAATGCACTATATTTAAAAAAAAATCTGTATTTTTCAATGATTTTCGTCGTGCTTAATAATTTATTTAAGGAATAAATTTAAGGAATTTCGTAGAAGTCACTTTCAATTTCTTTCAAAAATTCAACAAACTGTCGATGATTTACGGCACAACAGTAACGACGTGATTCAATTTCAAAACTTTTCTGCATAGCATTCTTGATGAATAATGCAGTGCAAAAATAATATATCGTGTTCTGGTTGTAACTCTTTTTCTTTGTTGCGAATTCGTTTGTAAGCCTACATTTTTCCCTATTAAACTATGACACCCATCAGTAATGATCCTCCAAATTTCATATTTCTTGTTAATGCCGCGAATAAATATTAATAATTGGCTTGTATCAGTAACATCGCAAGACTCATCTAAAGCCAGAGAACAATAGGTAAAATCAGCAATTTTTGTTCTTTGCTGATCAAGTGATATTTTAAATCCGTCGTACTATTGTTCTTCTCGAAAGGCTTACATTTTCAAAAATATGTTTCTCTTCAGAACAACAGATCTCCGACACTTGTACCATGGATTGTTTAACAAATTCTGTTTCAGAAAACGGTTTACAGAACCCCCACACTAATAATGTTGATGTCAACAAAATCTCATAAAAGAGTTTAAAAAAACTTGCGAATTTTTTCAACGGGCCGGATAAAATAAGCAAAAGGGCCGGATCCGGCCCGCGGGCCGGCTTTTGCCACCCCTGGTCTAAAAACTGTTGGTATTCTAAATTGCTATTCTAAATATAACTGTCAATTTTACACAGATTTGAAATGTTTGGAAATGTGGATATTGTATTCGTTCACTTTGAATGTAAGATTACGAAATCAATTCACTTAATTCAGCAGATATAATAAACTAGTTGGTTTGGTATTTAGCTTTGAGGCAAGTTACATGAACTCCCCCATATGTCTAAATAATCTACTTAATCAATAAAAATAAATTCATTTATGATAGATTAGAAGTATTCCGAGTGGATTTATTACACATAATTGAAAACGAACGAACACGTTGACTTGAATTTTCTTAAAGCAAATTTTCACAAATCAATAATTTTTATAATTGAACCAGTTTCCGTAGGACTTTAATGGTTAGTATGTTCATTAAGACCAAGTACTTTATCGTTATACCAAGTAAATCGTCTAATTTTGATTTTAACAAACGTCAAAAAACTACTCATTTTCCGGAAAAGAAACGGCTCGGCAGATTGTCTCACAAAACTGACAAATTATAGTCCTCATTGAGATACATCAAATGACTTTTAAGTTTATGAAATCGGTTCAGGCGTTTTTGAGAAAACGTCGATCAAAGGTTTAATTTTGTCAAATGCCAAAAAAACGATACCAGTTTTTGCAAACTTTGACGAATTTTCAAAGTTAGACCAATTGTCGTGGAGCCGTAATATTTTAGTATGATCTAGAAGACTATGGTAACTACCTTCAAAAAAATAATAATAAAAATCGACAAGAAAATTTTTTTAACACTTTATTACAAGAAAACGGCCCGGTCGATCAATACCAACAACTCATCAGCACGATTCCCAATCAATATCTTTCGAACGGTTTTTGAATTTTCAAGATCGATTCAGAACTGCGGGCTAAACGTGAACGAAAACAATTTCACTTTTCTGCTATTTACAAAGAAACGGCTAGGCTAATCGTCGCGCAAAATTGATAAACGCTAGTCCTCATCGAGATACATCGAATGGCTTTTAAATTTTTGAAATCGGTCCAGCCATTTTTGAGAAAACGTCGATGTACGGCAAAAATCTGTTCACACACACACACACACATACTTTTCCTAAATTTGGTCTCATTCGATTCAGAATGGCTTGAAACGTCGAGAAAACATAGAATTAGCGAATCGGATTTTTGATGAAAATATAAACTTCTCCTTCGGGAAGTTAACAACGGCATTGCACGGTGTTATGGTTTTTTCCATGGTGTCACTTTGTATTAAAAATTATTAATATATGATTTTATAATTAATGCTATTAAAATAATGTTTATCAATTTATAAAATTGCATTTTTAGGCCTGTGTATATACCATCAACAACGATTAAGTATGAACCTGTTGCAAGAGAAGATACTTTAGAAGAATTAGATATATCGCATATAGGAAATGAAAAGGATGTTGGTGATGAGTCCATCATTTCTACAACCAGTGGCAGGTATGACAAAATTTGTTAAAATTCTTATATTGCATTAATCCTAAAAGCTAACATGGTTCATTATTGTTTCTAATCTAAAAGTTTTTTAAATGTTAGATAATATTTGATTTCTATAATTTTATTTCAGGTATAAATCCGTTGAGCGTTTGCGTCCAATTCCACAAGCCTTAACAGTTTTATCAAATGATGATATACAAAGCACTGTCGCTTTAGATGCCACATCTTCTCTGCCTTCTAGTAGTCCAGAAGTTACTACCTTAGTACCTCCAAAAACTACTATAAACATCATATCCAGCGAAACTCCAGCAGCAATAGAGCAGACAACCCCATCCTTGACTACTAAGCCAGAGAATATTCCTGTTACCATCGTTACAAGACTTGGAGGTCTGACTTCAAAATCAGGCTATTCACAAGTCACATCTACTGCCAGAACAACAACGCAAGATGCTACAACGCCATCAAAATCAACTCAACGGCCATATCCATTCACGAAGCGATTGTATCAGTCACAGGTAAGTTTCAGAGATAGTAGTAATAGATTTAGAAATATTAATGTAGATAATGGTAGTGCAGAAGTAGAACAGTCTAACGTAACAGAAAATTTGCAAAACGTTGAAGGTGATACCAAAATTACTAGGGTTAGATCACGCGGGCGTTTTAGATTACGTGCAACAACAGAAAATCCAAACGATGAATCCACATATAGCAGTACGGTTACTAGGGTAACACCAGCACGAAGATTCCGTCCCAGATTAACTACCCCTTCAGAAATTGATTATTCTGAAGAACAAACTTATAAACCAGCCGAACAAATTGAACGTAAACACAGACCACAATTTTTAACAGATTTATCTTCCTTGACGTCATTCGATTTTGGTGGTAAGCATAGTTCTTTCAACCCAAATCACCGCGGTCGTAATTTTGCCAAGCGTACGCGACCTTCCACACCAGTTCCTGATATCGAGAATGATAAAACAGATTTTACTGAAAATGAAAATACTAGATCACGTATTGAAAGTCGTCCAAAAAGCTTTGTACGATCTACTACACCAAACTCAATTTCTAATGTGGAAGTATCTGCTAGTAACAATGGGTTCAGAAAACCAATTAAACCATTTTTCTTAGGTAAATTTAGTACCGTTAAACCTAATACAGTTGACTATGGATATGATAAAGATTCAAAATTGAGAAATGATAAATCTATTGAGGATTACAATTCGGACAGCGTAGTTTCATCCACAACGTCCCGAAATGTTGGATTCAAAGCACGACTTTACAAAAGTCAGTCGACGACAACAGAAAATACAATAACTTTGCAAGAAGATGATGAAAATGTATCTACAAAATTAGAAGATAAATTAAATTTAAGTGCTGAAGTTTCTCCCGAAGAACAAGAATCTTCTGAAAATTTTAATACCACCGAAGAAGTTTCTTCAAAATCAGTTGATGTGGAACATTCTAATCAAAATATTTCTGAGTATAACACTGATAATATAAAACTTAATACAAATGTTGATAATTCGCCAAATACTAAAGCAGCAAATGATATCAATCTTAAAACCGGTAATAGATATAAAATTATAAGAAGAATTAAACCAACTGTGGCTGCAGCAGATTCAGATGCTGGTGCATCTCTTACAGAATATGTCAGCGACGATAATAAAACTGTTAATTCTGGTTTAAATAGACGAAGATTTAGAACCAAAGCCGAATCTAATAATGATACGACAATAAATGCTGGAGCCAGAGACTTCACATTCGACCAGAATGAGAACAACCAGCCCGAAAATAGGCTTCGGATAAAAGTACTTAAAACAAGAAATTTTGGTCGTGGTGATCGAGTTTCTACATCAACCCAAATTCCATCAGAAGATTCGGAAGCATTCATATCTAATCCGAATAGAAATCGATTAGTTTCAAAAAATAATATCAATATTAATTTTAAAGAGCAAAATGATGAAGAGGAAAAATATGTCAACGCTGGACGATTTAGGCCACGGACAGTTATAGTGGGATTTGATTACAACAAAAATGTTGAGAGGCCTCTACGATATAAATATAGACAGAATGGATCTCAGAATATTGATTCTTCAGAAAAGACAGAAAACTTGGATTCTGCAGCAGACCGTAATTCAGCTGATTTAAAAAATAAATTTAGTAGAGGTAGACCATTTACTACTGCTCCGACTTCAGAACGTTCTGATACTGACAGTAATATACGTCTAGATTCAGTATCTACACTAAGGAGAAAATACACTCCTATAGCTAGGAACAAAAAACCTGAAAATAGTTTGAGAACAGAATCAACAACTGCTGATTATTCAACTGATGATGAAGAAATTATAGAAAACTCTGCAAACAGCTACTACAAATCTCCTTCTGAAGAACATGACGAGCAAAATGGTATAACGCCGCCAAGCACCTCTGTAGACATTACCACACTTTCTTATGAGAGTACATTATTTGACTTATCATCACATGAAGATCATGACACATTAGAACAAACTACGACAGATGAAGTGTCAGAAAATATTGAAAATGTAACGGACAAGAATTCAGATGAAGAAATCTCAACATCACACAGTAATATCAGTCATGTATCAGAATCTGAAGAACTTATCACTCAACTTGTTAAAGAAAATTCTTCAGAACAAAGTATATCCGATGATATTGAAACATCTTCAAATTATGCTACTACTGAAGACATGAATTTGAGTTTTGAACAAAATCAAGATCACATCGAAACCACTACTCAGTTTTCTACAACCGTATTAAATAACATTCGTAGAAGAGGAAGACCTACAACCGAATCATCTTCAACCACAGAAAAATTATCTTCGAATCCTAATAGAATACGTAGTCGTGGTAAGACCACTTACAAAAATACTCTGACTGTTGAAAAAGATCTCACAAATAATCGCTCTTATAATACGCGAACAAGAAACTATTTGCTCAGAAATAGAAATTCGTCTTCTAGCAAAACTGATAAGAACATAACAAACGTAGAAAAAATTGAATCCGCAGAGGATGCTGAATATTCCGGTGAAGCACTTGATGAAGAATTGGAAAGTGAAGTATCCAAAGATATTGAAAACGATAGTAATAAGTCTAACGAGAATATTGCTAGTTTAGAAGAAGAACAGAGTATTGAGCTTAAGGATATTACTGAAATGGTTTCTCAGAGCGATCTACTTACAGAATCAACAATTTCTACCGAATACGATGAATCTTTATTAAATTTGGAAGTGAATACAGAATCACTTATGGACAAAAATATTACAAACGGTTTTATAGAGGCATCAGAAAAAAATGAAACCGGAGATTCCACTGATGCAAATACGAGCGAAGAACTGGCAACTGAAGACAGCTTGAATATAGGCACTCCTACAGAAATTACTAATTTAGAAGATTCCGAAAATGATGATTCCGAAATTGTAGTAACAGAAAATATTACATTGACAACCAAAATCAATAATGAAGCTTGATTAACATTGCAAGTACTGAACCTATTGACAATGGTACAAATCTAAATTCTACAGAAACAACAACTGCTATAAATTTGACAACACCTAGAGTTTTAGGATTTAGACAAAGATTTAATAATCAGAGAAAAGGAATTACGGATATTAAATCATCTGGTGCAGATAAAGATGAGGAAAAACGTAAATTACTGCCAACACTTTTTGATTTACAAGAACAAAATAAAGCAAGTTTTTCAACAAATGATGCGAAGGAATCGAACGCTTTGCGTAATAATAATTTTAGGCTTAAGTTAAGTAGAACCAATAGGCCTACTCCTGCTATATACAGAGGAGAAAATAATTACTCATCAAAAATAAATAATACATTGGAAAGAACGAGAAATTCTTTACTAAGTAATGTACAGAAAACGTATTTAGGTAGTAGAAATATAAATAGACAAAAGTTTGGAATTGGTAGAAATACAATTAGCAAAAATGTAACTGAAACTATCAAAGAAGATAATAGTAGTATTTTATTAGAAGAAAATGGTTTAGAAGAATCTGTAGATCAGACTAATTTAACAGTATCGTTAGATGGAGATATGGAGCATGATACTAATAGTGGTTTAATAATGAATTTAACATCTTTAGATAATGTGGAATTAATAGTTAACAACACTGACACCATTGGTGTTGAGCTATTAACCAATAAAACAGAAGCCGAACATAATTCCACAATTACTGATGATGATATAAATCTTACATTACAGGCACGAAAAGTACATAATCTTGATAACTCGTCATTTTCTGGGGATAACAAAGTTATAGATTCAGAAGAAAATAATTCTGATAATAGATCACAAAGAAGGAAAAAGATAATACGTAGAATTCGCCCTTCGCATAATCTAAATGTTAACGAGAAAACTGATGATATTGAGAATAACAATTTTTCAGACAATAATACAACCAGAAGACGTAAAGTCATTTTACGGCGACCCTCTTCAACAACAGAGAATTCTGCAAATAATGAAGAGTTGCCACTCACAGAAAAACCTAAATACCGAAAAATTATACGAAAATATAAACCCAAAGCGATAGAAGATGACGTTATTATCAAATTCGATGATGTAAATAATACTGACAAAAGTTTCGAGAAAGAATCCGATAATGATATTATAATCCGATTCAAAGATTCTGAAGAAGGATCTGAATTAAAAGAGAATTCTAAAGTAAGTGATGATGAAACATCCAACGGAAAGTCCATACTAACCGGTTTAGACAGAGCCTCTATATACCAAATGAAGTTACATCCAGTCGTTGTTCCAGTTACCAGACGCGTTACAGATGACGAAACAGATGATGTAGAGGTTACTACAATATCAGACACTGACGAAGAAGTGGTAGAAACTACTGATAACACAAATGAAATAGAGTCTGATACCACAGAAATGTTAGAAGAACCGACTACTTATCAATATGAGATAACAACAACGTCTTCTACCACAGAAGTTACGCCTTCAACACCGCAGTATATTAATCGTTTGCTAGCAGTAAGGAAACCTGCCTATAAACCTCCAAAACGGGTGACAACTACTGCTCAACCATCTACAACAGCAAGTCTATCTAAACAAACTCGTAATTATCAAAGAAAGTACTTCAAATATGCGGATAAACCCCAAACAATTCCTGAGGATATTAAAACAGTAAATATTGAAGAATTTCCAGGTATTGAACCAGTTACTGTCCCACCGATTAGACTCTTTACTGCCAAAGATCGAAAGTTTGGACGAACTGGATTTTCACCTAAGCCTGATGATGAGGAAGTTGATGATGAGTATTACGAGGATGAAGTATCCCAAGTAAAAAATAGGCCTTTAATTTATACTTTACTCGAACGTACCAGCACCGTACGTCCAAAAGAATTAAATATTGACGACTACGTTGATGATAGTCAAGAACCACATAACAAATTTTTCGATAATCCAATCTCTGATGATTTGTATGAAGATACATATGACGATGAGTCTGTGGAAGAATACAATGAAGAACAAAGTAAAAGCTTAGAAGAAGATGATCAACCTATATTACGTTTTCCAATATCACTAGGCAAGAAAAATGACGTGCCTCTATATACACCAAAACCAACAACATCTAGATATTACAATCGACCATCAACAAAAGAGTTTGTACATCCTGCAAGTCTAAGAACTACACCTGTACCAAAATATACCGTAGATTTGCATACAGAACCCTCTCCGTTATTGAGCCGGACAACTGAATTTATTCATCCAGCAAGTAGAGCATATACTAGGAAATATGTAATAACAACAACAACTACTGAACTTCCAGTTGATACTGGTTTGGAAGACTTGAATATTGATGCATTAAATGCTAGAAATAAAAAGATATTTGACAGCCACAAAAAACCGCTAACAGCAAAACCAATAACGACACAAGCTCCGACAATTGCCAGTTCGGAAATTAATGCAAATCCTGAATTTATTATACGTGTTGAAAATAGTTCTTTGGACAATAATTTAATTAAATATACAAGTCAAGACGATTCACAGACAGAGAATACTTTCCAAATAAGTATACATGAACAAACAAATACTGTATCTGAATATAATGAGTTTAATAATACAATTTCTAAGAGTTCAGCTAGTTCTCAAAATACATCCACTGAAACGTCTGATATCGAAGACTTATCAACTTATCCACACCATATTTTTGCAATTGATTCATCTACAGAAGTTCAAACTACGGATGAAGATGTAACTACGGAAAAATTGGAAAAACTTGTAGAAATCAACTTAATTTCAGAAGTTAAATCTAAAGAAGAAAAATTAAAATTAAGCAATATTACTTACGAGTCCAAGCCAGTAGTTCTAGTAAGTTCAACAGATTTGCAATCTGAACAAATGCCTAAGCTTGATAAACGTACGGAAATTAATCGCTTGACTCTGATTAAAGTGGTCAATGGTGAAACTGTAACTACAGATTTTCCAGCAACTGATACTACTTATTATGAAAACTCTTCAGAAAAAGCTCGAGCAATTGACTTCAACAAGCAAAACTATATAAGCAACCATCTGTTTGTTGAACCATTCACATCTAGTACCGAAAGATCTACTATAACATTAGAAGGCCTCTTTAAAAACGAAGAATTAGCATATGGAAAGTCCGTTAAAGGTAAAAAATCTTCAAGTCCTATGCCTGTATATGTTCCATCAACTACGCAAGCATACACTACACCCACGTATGAAACAGTTACAAAATCTTCACAAGAGCAAAGAAATATTGAATCAATTGGATCAGTCAAGGAGGTGACACCTCCAGATAGTTCGCCTATTGTCATATCCATATTCAACTTGGATAAAGTTCTTTTACAAAAAGGACCTCCCGTTAAAATTGAAAAAGTACAAGCTCAAGTGCGAACTTTGAGTGACCCTGAACTAAATATTGATGTTGACAGTCATGTGACTTTGATATCACCAAGACCAATTGTTCACAAGGAAACTAGTTATAGCGAAACTCAAAGTTCTATGAGAATATTAAGGAAGCATCTTAAAAAGCATGCGGTAGATCCTGGAAAGCAATTTTCTACGGTAAAGGATAATCAAGGAGTAGAAAAGGTTGCCTTTACTGTTCTGAATGAACACCAGCCTGTTGTGAGGTCAGTTGAGGTGAATGCTGGACCTTCTGTGGTGACTTCACAGAGCAAAATTGTAAAAACGGTAATAAACACTGCTAACACGTAGCTGAAATGAATTAAATTAACACTATTATTTTAGAACAAGTATTATATAAGATATGACTGGCAATTATATAAGTCTTAAAGTTCATTGGCTCTCGAGATCATTTTGTTTTAAATTTAAAGAAAATTAAAATTATTTGATATAGTTTTTCTAAATTAAGTTAAGTATTTAATTCGAAATAATTTACTAGTCTTCGTGCTGGCCATATTTAACGCCAAGTATTTGGTATAAAATTCAACATTGAAAATATTTGGACTTACTTGCATCTAACATTATATAATCGTACTCCAAAAAACGTCGTTATAATAGATTGGGATATAATTGATTTATTGACCGAGAATCAATTAAAAGCGGAAAAACAAAGTTATTCAAATTTGGAAAAGTTAAGGATTGACTTTTGGTTATCATGTTTGGAACTGATTTGAATCGCTTTTTCGACACAAACTAGTGATGAAATGTCTAGTGTCCTAAGAATTTATATTCAAGATACAGATAATAAATTTAATTTATTCATACAACGTAATAAGTATTGTATGCAGTATTGTTTTATTGTTTTCATATAGACGTCATTAAAACGGTATAATGCAATTGATTCTTCCTGTAGTTGTCACACCTCAACTAATTTAAAAGTTAAAAACCATTTTGTACGCACGCGTACTTTTTATATATATCCCAGATATAAAATCATTTATTGCAGATAAAAAAATAGATAAAATATTTTGTTCTGACTTAATCTAACTTGCTGTTCTAATTGACTCCTTGTCCAATGCCTTTGTATCAGTTCTCTAACAAAATATTACCATAAAGTCCAAAAAAAAGTTGCAAAATTGAATCTGGAAATCAACAAAAGATTTGGCAATTGCCACTACAATTTTCTATATTTTAGAATAAATCTTAACAGATTTTGTAGCATGTTTGTACATATAGTCAAATAAGTTACTAACATTAGTCCTAAGATTTCTATCTAATAATTATTATTTCTATAAGATATTACCTGTATGTTTTACCCTTGTGTATTTCAGCTATCTCAGAAACTTGACAAGTAGTTTCAAAATGTTATTATCATTAGTTTATAAGTTTCGATGTTGTTATTAGAATAAACAGATCAATTGAAATTAGAAGTTTGTTGTATATAATCATGATGCACGATCATTTCATCATCTTCATCATGTAAATTGATCGAATTGTCGAAAATGAAACATCATAATTTGAATTTTTATTAATTTATTGATATCATAATAATTACAAATAGTACACACTATAATCAATTTTATATGCATAAATTTTGCAGGTAATATATGATTATATAATATTTACATGCAAATGGTGCTACAACAATTTATAATTAATATTATGATGGAGAATAGTCAATGTATATACAGATATGGTGTTTTATATGCCGTCTAACTTTTCCAAAATATGTCTTGGCTCAAATTTATAAGTATTGTTTTACTTCGATTCTATACTTTCTAAAAAATGTTTTATGTAAGTTAATGCTGCGTGTGCCTGCGAATATTCTTTAGTAATATTTATATCATAATTTTACTACTGGTGCATGGCATTGAGTCTTAAGGCAAATTGCTGGAATTTTTCTTATTATAATGAAATATTCGAGGAATTTTGATTTTTTTTAAATAGATTATCATCGTATCATACAATTTCACGAAATCTTATATTTCTGAGAGTTATATAAACAGAATTGCAAAGTAAAATTTATTTCAAGTCTATAAGTGAGCTTTAGAAAATATATTTATTCAGAATTTTTGAAATTTTCTAAAATTTTGAAATAAAACAGTTTTTTTGCTTTCCCTAAAAATTAAGATAATCAGTGTGAAAACACTGTCAACCCAAGTTAAATGTTTTGTGAATCATTTTGATTAGATAATCCATCTTTTCAAAAACTGCTGATTTTTGCACTTTTTGCTCTCAAACAGCTGGATCTGCCTTTTCAAAAAACTAATCAGCATGTATCCTCGTCAATACGAATCGAATGTTGTTTGAATCGAGTTTTTTTTGCCCACATGACAGTTTTAGTATCTGGTTTTTACTTGAAGTTTCTACATGCTCGGGAAGTCTGAAACAAATAAAAAACGAACTTTTTCGGCTATTTTTGAGCATTTTTTACATAAGAAATATTTAAATGCTTATAACTATAGAAATATTTATCATAGGACTTTGATGTTTTTGGATGAAATATTGTTAATCAAAAGATCTTTAACTCAGTGCGAAAATATTTATGTTACCTCCCACCTTTTGCGAGATATTTGCTAAAAACTATTTGCTACTTTTTGCATACTTTAAATGCGTATATCTCAAAAACTATCTGAGCTACGATCGAAATATTTTTATAGTATCTTTCTAACGTCATAAGGAACTTACGCTGTGAATAACAGCATCTCGAATTTTCTGACAAAAATCGCTAAAACGTCATGTTATGTGACGTAGCATCATGTTATATTTTAAGTTTATTTCGATTTATTCTGCAATCTTTGAAAAAATTTAAATACAGTTTTCTTGTCGTTATTTTTATCACTATTTGCACTGTATCTTTCAAACTTGTTTTCACCAAAAACTAATTATCACGTCTCCCCATCAGTAAGAATCGAATGTTATTTTAATCAATCTAATCGAATAACCTGTTCAAAAATAAAATATTGATTTTTTGCACTTTTTGCTACCAATCTTCGAAACGACTAAACCTGTCTTTGTCAAAAACTAATTAAATTATCCTTTTTAGTTTACGATAGAATGTTACAAGTGTAACATTAAGAAATAAAGAAATAAGAAATGAAATGAATAACATTAAAAATGAAGGTACCTCCATTTATTTATTTTATATTAATCGTTAAATTTATTGGACATGATTAGGTATTTATTTCGTAGTATTATTTTTAACTTTGAGTAAAATTAATTAGCGAGCTCTTTTAAAATAATTTACACTAAATACTTCTTTGTAATTGTCTGATAAATATCTAATATTTATCTACATAAAATATGGAAATTCGATATTGAAAATTTAAAATTTAATCAAAATTTGTACAAAATAATCGGAATCTCTTCAGAACATTGGCACCAAAACTATCATCCAATACTGATGATAATGATCTCTTAATTATTAATACCTTAATAATGATACTAAAATCTTTTGTTTGTATATAAGCAATATCTATCTTTGGAGTTTTACAAAAATTAGTTTCAAAAATCACGGTAAACTTTGTTGGGTCAAGATCATGTTGAATTTTTTTTTTAAATTATCTAAAATTCATTCTTATTTAGATATTTTCGTATGTTTAAAGATATACATGGAATAGAATCACTTGGATATTAGAAAATTGTTCATCTAAAATTTTTGTCATTGTCATTATTGAATGACTTACTAGAAAACGCTGAATACTGATTATTAATATATACTAAGTATATTAAGATTAAATACAATTATCATATCATGTTGGAGAAAACCAATCATGGCACCACTCATGTGTTTTTTTGGACAAAAACCTTGATTCTTAATTTATATCTGTATAAAAATACAATTACAATACTTACAATTTTAAAAATTTTCATTATTATTCTATTACCAAGAATCGCATTACCGGTGAATTGTTAACAATTTGCATCTGTAAGACTTTCATCTTATCCAATATGTATTATATGCGTACAATTTCCTTTCCATTTTATTGGCGCAAGAAAAACAGAAATTTCGAAACAAATATTACTTTCTTGATGCGGATACGTTTTTGTATCGTATATTGTAATTTGACTATTTTATGACTCCATTAAATGAAATTTTCATTTAACAAATAAAAAGGTGCTAATTATATGATGAACAATGATAATATGCAATTTATTATCGACAAATGAATCATTGTAAAGTTATTGCTTTTTTGTTGAGATTAATAGTGTTGCTGAAGGTACATATTCATTTTGTGGCTTTATCAACAATTAAATTAACAACAATCAAACTTAAATTCACATGGTTGTGAATTGATCATATAATTAAATATTCATTATTATGCCGATTTCTTATACCTGAAGATTTTCTTTAGTAGTAGAACCGAAACGAAACGTATGCATCGTTGTCAAATGTATTAATTTGTAGCTGATTCAGTATAAAAATTGAGTGCAAGGTGTTTGTTGTATAAAAATTGAGTGCAAGGTTGTCAGATATTTGATAAGTAACAATTTCGTTAACCCTTAAATTCAAGTAATTTTTTAACTTATGATAACTACTTACACAAAGTATTTTTCAATCATTACAATTCATATTAGCGAAAAGATTTACCATATATTAATAACGTAAGATTTGAATGTCTGGACAATATAAAATTTCAAAGAAATGATTAATTCTTGGTTAAAAAGTTATGAATAATTTACCAATTAAATCATTATTGTAGTAGGGTTGCTAGGAGCTTATTGTAACTTTTTTTTTGAATAAATATATCTTGAGATCCGCTGATTATATTTGTACTAAATAAAGATAGATAGTTGCTGTAACTATTTTTCCACCGTATCAAGTATAAAATAGACTAGTGATGCATGGCATCGTGCCTTAAGGCAAATTGCTGGAACTTCTCGTACTAAAAATTATTTTATTTAAAAAAGGTTTTTTTTTTTAAACTTTGGAAAACTTAGATTTTTGAGAAATTTTAAACTTTTGAAAAAAATTGACCTCGAAAAAAAACTTTTTGAAAAAAAATTTTTCTTTGATTTGAAATATTTTGGAAATTTTGAACTTTTTCAAAGCAATCGTACTGCTTTAGCTGCATAGAGACGAAATGTCAAAGCGCGTATGCGCCGCGTCGCCGTCTAACAGACAAACTCATGTTATGGAACCCATAGAAATGTAAACAAAATTTCAACGTATTATTAAAATCTCTATAAAATATCTGATAATTTATGTCTAATGATCATTTTTAACCGCCAAATCGCATTTTTTTACTTTTTTTTACTAGATTTTCGAAACCGCTAGACCTGCCTTCCCAAAAACTTAATTAGTTCTTCAT